AACTTCCTCCTAAAAGGCAATGTTGCTTTTAAAAATGGTTTTATATAAGAACCCTCAAGCATCATTAAATTGGAAAGTAAGCTTTCTCTTTGGTTGTCTTTTTTTTTTTTTTTTTTTTGCCCCCTCTACCCGTCTCTTTCCAATAACACCATCTTAACATGAAATTATTTCCTGAATTCCAGAACCACCTCCCCAAGCAGATCAGAAGCTCCATGGGGATGACAGCCACACCTTCCCATCCCCTCACAGGGCTACAGGGGTCTGTGCATTCGCTAGCCATTCCATCCTGCCCCACTTAGCCCTTCTACCCCCTTTGCCCACCAATGTCGCTTCTTCCACTAGAGGCCAGCTCACACCCGTGAGAAGCAGGTGTTTGTTTGGGTGGTGGGTCTAGCATAATCTTGCCATTCAGTAAGTTTCAAAGTATGGTGGGCTGTAGAGATGGGTCAGCACTGGCGGTTCTTCCAGAGGACCAGGGTTCAATTTCTAGCACCTACATGGTGGTTTGCAACCATCTGTAACTCCAGTTCCAGGAGATCTGATATCCTCTTTTGTCTTCCTAGTGCATACATGGTGTGCAGACAACAATGCAGGCAAAACACTCAGGCACATAAAATTAAAGTAAATAAATAAGTGTGGTGACTACATCTCAGAAAAACCAGGGACAAGAAGACCAAACAAAGCTCAGTAGCTGTCAGTATTGCAGCCTACAGGGATCAGTAGCAGTCTTGACTCTGCAGCCAGGCAGACAATAATGTCCCAAGATGAGGCTTCTTAATCTCTTGGACCCTCTGTTTCCCCAGTTAAAAACAACAACAGGAGAACAAGGACCCAGTGGAAATAATGTGGAAGGTACCTAAGCAAAGGCACATGTGTGTGACAGGGGAATTAACTGGGCTTGCTTCCTCTTCCAACCTACTAGCTTCCAGTGACTTAGTTCAATTCCTTGTCCATGCATGGGCCGGACTGAGGGCACCCCACACAGGGGTGAGAGAAGATGCTCAGCCTTCACAGGGGTGAGGGAGGAAGCTCAGCCCACACAGGGCTGAGGGAGGATGCTCACCCTGACATCAGTCTGCTTCCTTCTTCCCAGGTTCTAGAAGTCCCACAGAGCATAGCCCCAACCCACTACCCACTATTCCAAGAGACCTATGCATGCTAAAGAAATGGTGCTGGTGGCAGATGCTGTCAAGGGGTCCAAGGAGGTCCCTGGTCACCCACTGACCTCACCTAGTTCTACTTTCAAAGCAATGTCATATAGTCCTGGTTAAACCTATGGTGCACAGAGTGGTAACAACTGCCATTCCTTAGTGGATCTTGGCTGTGAGTGAACAGATGCCATAGATTGTGCCATGTAGCCTCTGATTGTTTGGTTAACTGACCTTGAATTCATTTGCAGCACCACACAACTTCAGCTGCTATTGAGATTCTCTACTCTGGGCATTGTCCATCCTGTGGCAGCTTCTCTGACACTAAAAACAAGGCTACAGATCATTAAGAGGCCAGAGCAAGGGTACAAGTGCCCCAACGATGCTGCCGATTTCAGTGAAGATCTGGTACTCACCATTCTTTTGCCTCTCTGGTTTGATACTGATTATTTTAAAAATGCCTCCTGAGCCCAGCAGTTGGGCTGGAGTTTTCTAAGTAAAGCAGTCTGGGAGAGGAGGCTGCGTTCATTATTAATGGCATTCTCTTCTGAGAGTGCATTCACATGGAGCTGAATCAGTCCTGGGAAGCTAATCTCATCTCTGTGATGTCTGGGTGTGCCCTGCACTGGGGGATGAGGGCGCATTGGGGGGAGCGACCCAACCCATATAGAGGAAATGGCTGTGCATTCCAGGAGCTGCCCTTCCCTTCTGCACAATTCCCAGAAATGGGATGCTTCCCCCAGCTGCTGACCTACAGGCTGTAAGTAATGAAGGACCCACCAGGAGTCTGGGGCACTTGGCAGCACCCCTAACTCTTTCCCCTTTTCTTTTGTATGACCTTTGTGCCAGCACTGTCCCTGGACCACTCATCACCTCTAAGCAGCCACCTCTGCACCCAGCTCCCTCTATCCCTAGCATTTAACCACCATCCAGCTATGTATGTAAGGGCTCCCCACATAGGACTTAAAGCCCAAGTCCATATGACAAATGTGTGGCTGAGGACTGCTCCTTCCCTGAGCCATGGCAGATGCCAATGACTGATGGTGGGTCCCTTTCTTCCTCCTAGATTTCTTCCTACCTAGTTTTCCTGAAAGGCAGAAACAAGGTGATTGGCATAGGTAGAAAATGTATTTGGCACCCCAGATCTAACTCATTGCCCTTCTTGTCCTTGCTAAGCACCTCATGAAGTGGTTATCCTTTTGCTTGGGAAGGGCCCAGGGTCTTTGGGGGCATTTTGCTTGGTCATCTTTGGATGACTCTATCATTGTCTTCTGTTAACTCAATAGCTCCTCTTTTCTGCCAATATCTTCCACCATCAAGAGAACCAGAAGGATAACACTGGAAGCAAGCAAGGAGAGAGCCCTGGTGCCTTGTTCACCCTGTACCTTAGGTTTCTTCTATCATAACCATTAACACTTGGGACCAACTCACAACTATAAGGTGCCTTCTGGACAGGGCCTGGGCACACAGCTGCCATTTAGCACTGAGTCTCCAAGCAGTGTGCAGGAACCTACAGTCAGAGCAATGATTGTGTCAACAGCCAACACTTAACACAAAGAATGTGTCAAAACTGTTGGGAGAATCTGCCATTCAAACAACTCATTTAATTCTTAAGTACTGATTTGATAAACCCACTTTTACAGCTCCAGAAACATAGAGCCAATGAGATGGCTCAGTGGGTAAAAGATGCACTGCCAAGAAGACCCTGAGACCTACATGGTAAAAAAGAGAGGACTGACTTTCACAAGTTGTCCTCTGCCCTCCATGCACACTGGATGGTGTGTACACACATACATGATGGCATGTGTACACATACAAACACATGAGCTAAACAAATAAATAAGAAAATGTAATCTCTCTGAGACACAGAGAAGTTAAAATTACTCCCCCAAGGTCTCCCAGCTAGAGAGGAGTAATGTGCCCCCAGAGCCACCTCCACCTCACCACTCTGGGTATCCTATGGCTGGCAGGAGGATGGACATATGTGTGCAAAGTCAGGCCAGGGCAGAGAGGGCACAGCAGTGAGCTAGGGAGGTTGTGTCAGGGTCAGACACTACCAGGGCCAAATCACTGGCCCCACAAGCAGACAGCAAGGCAGGCCAGGGCAGGGCAAATGCAAGTACCTATGGATAGACACACACACACACACACACACACACACACACACACTTCCCAACTCCCTTCTGGGACAAAGCCTGCTGCACAGATCCAGTCTCAGCAGATACCTTGTGGACCAGAAAGAAATGGGAGAAACTAGACAGCCCTGAATCCTCTTTTTGTATAACTCTCATATGGGCCCTTGGGACAAAGCCTGCTGCACAGATCCAGTCTCAGCAGATACCTTGTGGACCAGAAAGAAATGGGAGAAACTAGACAGCCCTGAATCCTCTTTTTGTATAACTCTCATATGGGCCCTGCCCCCAGCCCATCCACATTCAGAGCTGCTTCTGGCTGGGCCTGGAGCTGGCCCCTTACCCAGCTCTCAAATAATCACATGGAGACTTACTCTTATTTATAAATGCCCTGCCTTAGCTTTACTTATTTCTAGCCAGCTTTTCTTAATTTAAATTATCTCATCTACTGTTTGCCTCTGGGCTTCTACCTTTCTCTATTTCTGCATATCTTTTCTTCTTATTCCATATCTGGCTGGGTGGCTGGCCCCTCGAATCCTCCTCTCCTCCTTTTTTCTTGCTCCTCTCTTTCTTCTTGCTGCATGCCAGCCCCACCTATCCTTTCTCCTGCCTTGCTATTTATTGTCCATTCAGCTCTTTATTAGATCATCAGGTGTTTTCAATAGGCAAAGTAATACAGATTCACAGAATTAAACAACATAAACAATGCAACATAAAAGAATGCAACACATCTTTGCATCATTAAACAAATATTCCACAGCATAAATGAATGTAAGACATCTTAAATATTCCACAACAGTAAGATTCTGGGAATAGGGGCATTTTAGCCACGTTGGGCGGGGACGACCCTCTGAGGAAGTCTTCCTGGTAAAAGGCAATGCCAGAATGGAGTCTTTCAGACCACACCAGGTATTAGCCAGGTAAACAATAAGGACAAGCATGTCCCAGGTGAGGAACAGAAGCTACAAAGCTGTGATGCTCAGAGATAGGAAACCAAGGGCACAGTGAGGGCCATAAACTATGAGATGGCTGAGTGGAGGATGACGAGGTAGGAGAGTAAGGGTGAGTCAGAGACCAGGGATCTTCATCTTTGCACCTTTACACTCAGTGTGATGCAACAGCACACAGTGGTTGCCTGAGAAACATCCGATGATAAGGGAACCAGTGGTCAGGGCTGCAGGGCTAGGCAGGTGAGGTTCTGGCGAGCCTGCACATGCTAGAGGCCCACAGATCCTCTCTACCCGCAGGCCAACACAGTCGTGCAATTAGGCCCTCTGCATTGCTGCCCAGAGATACAGGGCCTCCAACTCATTGTGATGGCCACAGGGAGATTACACAGTAGACGAATCCCAGCCAAGTGTGTGTGAGGCTGGATAGATACAAACAATACAAACTCCAAACACAGGAAGCTTGGAGGAGACCAGCAGGGCTAGGGGAAGATTAGAAAGTCCAAAGGGACAGAAAGAGAGACAGGTAACCCAGGTGAGGTCCAGTGGCAGAAACCAAAGGAGGGCTGCTACTCCATTTTATCAAAGGGGAGACAGAGTCAGAGATACTGAGGCATTTGCCCAAAGGTTAGTGAAGGGAGAGGCTGAGATTTTTGCTCCCAAGCCCTGGCCAAGTTGCAAGAGTACTAGTTTGTCTCACTTCCTAGAGCTGAGGGGTTGACAGGGGCCTCCGTATCTCAGGATCCACGCGGCCTTTAGGCTATAGGTCTCACCTGGCCTCCGGAGCCCAGCTCTGCTTCTCACTGTGTCCCCAGCACCTCATCAAGGACAGGAGGAATGGGAAGATCTCAGTCCTGAGAGGTGAGGAACCGTGCAGATTCTGTGAGGGTGGGGCTCCAGCTACAGCGGCAGCTGAGAGGAGAGGCAGATGTGGTTGGTTTGCTTTGTAAATCCTTGTTCTCAGTCCCTGGGGGTGGGGGTATCAAACAATATTTCCCCAGTGCTGGGGTAGTCTCATCTGCAGCGAAGGGACAGAATTTCTTCAGCCTACCATAGGAATCTGCATGTGACTGGGAAGGTCACTCTAGTGGTCACTTCCCAGGGAGGGTTCCCCACACTGAGGGCTTTCCACACCACAGTCAAGCAGGCCACAGTCCTGCCCCCCCCCCCTCCGCTGCTCTCGCTCAGCTGCATTCTCTTACGGCTCCTCTCACTGCTACTCCCCAGCTCCATCCAACTGAACTGTGCACAGGCTACACAGATGCAGCTAGCACATCCGTTCTCAGCCTTCCTGATGCTGCGTCCCTTGTGTTGTGCTGACCCCCAACCATAAAAATCATTTCTGTTGCTACTTTGTAACTGTAAATTTGCCACTGTTATGAGTCGTAATGTAAATACCTGTGTTCTCGGATGGTCTCAGGTGTCCCAAAGGAGGTGATGAGCTAGCACCACACAGGGAGGCTTTCCCACCTTCTCACTCCAAGCTAACACTCTCTTGCTTTCTTCCTCCTTCACTTCATCCTTTTACCACAAAAATCAAGACCAAGGTCCAGGACCTCTGCTGCATGCGGCTTGCCCACTCAGTGGCTGCAGTCTGCTCCCAGCTTGGGCTCCCTCCTCCAGCACAGTCCTCCCAATCCTTGAGCACTGTTACTCTTTAGCTGCCCTTGAGCACAAAGGCCCTCCTGGGAAATTGTGCATGGGAATCTCTGCTTTCTGAACAGACAGGGCCTTCCGGGCTTTCCCTCAGCTGCTCATCACTCCTTCCCCAGTACAATCTCTGCTCCCACTAATGCCTGCCTAGCAGGATGTCCTCAGGGGCAGGGATAGTGTCCAGGCTGCAGAGTGCCGGTGCCCAGAGTCAGCCTTCCAGTAAGGACCTTCGAACTGAACTCCAACACTCTGAGGAGCTGCCTCTGTCTTCGCAGGCCCTTCTGAACTGAATCTCGGAGAGGCCTCTTTCTCTGAGCTCCATGGAGCCCTATGTTTCAGTCTATGGAATTTCAGGCAGACTCCCAGTGGCAGTCTAAGAACAGGGTTCTGTGGCTTGGTACATGTCTAGTTGAGGTCTGACCACAAAGCTCTTACTTGACCACATGGCCATACTGTCTCTTTTAAGGAGAATGTCCCTCCATGCCACCCTTTCTATCAGGGTCTACTGCTAGCATGGAGAAGGGGGCTGAAGGCAGACCCTCAACTGACCCAGCTGGCAGCTGTAGCCACAGATACCTAAGCAGGCCAGATGTTTTGTTTGGGTCCATTTCTGAGACGGGGTCTCACTGGCCTAGGCTGGCCTGGAACTTGCTATCCTGCCTCCACCTCCCAACAAATAGCTACCTTTCCATTTTAGAGTAACCAGAAGTCTAGGGTTTTGTGTGAGAACTCCAGAGTTTAAAATACTGACCAATGGGGCTGGAGAGAAAGCTCAGTGGTTAGGAGCACTGGCTGTTCTTCCAAAGGATCCAGGTTCAATTCTCAGCATTCACATGGCAGCTCAAAACTGTCTAGAACTCCAGTTCCAGGGGATCCGACACCCTCACACAGATATGCATGCAGGTAAAACACCACTGCACACAAAAATAAATTAGAATGCTTACCACCAGTTTAAAAGGTTTTTCATTGTATAAGCCAAACAAATGATCCCCATACCTCATGATAGCTCTGTCCTGGATCAATGGCTACCTCCCTGGCTCTTTTCAGCATGTACACAATCCTAGGGTTGTGGTGGCCTGGGACAGATGACTCTTTTCACCGCTAGCCTGGCCTGGATCAGCTGCAAAGCGCCAAAAGATGAAAGCAGTGGAACTAACCCCATGCAGCGACAGGGGTTCCTCAGCCTGAAGGGAAATTTCCAGTGGAGTGTTCTCCACAGAGAGGGCACACAGCCTGCCTCAGGAGTGGCTCAGACCCAGGGAGGTGGAGGGCAAAAGGCACATTCAAATAGGATTTTGTTTTCCTCATTTATTTTCAAAACATTAAACGCCATTATCAAAGAATGTGAACGTGTTTTATGCTTGACCAAAAAAGAAAGAAATGGGGACTAGGCTCTTCCCAGGGGTAGGGTGAGGCAAGCTAATTTCCATTTTCAAAGAGTAACCAGATGCATGAGCCAAATAAAGGGAAACTTCCTGGAAACGAGCTGGGCATGGCAATGAACGGGCTGATGGGATTTTCCTGTGTGAAGGCCTGTGGACTGGCACAGGGAGGAGGACCAGCTGCCTGGCTCTGAGCATCCAACCAAGGCTCAAGGCAGGGCAGGGTGCTTTCTCAGCAACTTTTCCAAACTCAGGATTTTAAGCTTTCTAGCTGAAAAAGCAGGGGCCACTTGCTACATCTCACCTTCTGAGCTCTATGGTTTTCTCTGTTTTCCTCTGCCTTCCTAACCAAACAGATCTTACTTGGAAGAGAGAGGAAGAACAGACAGACTTCTCTAGACCCAAGGGCAAGGCTCAACCAAAGGTCAGCACTGACTGGGTGGCCACTGGCCCACCCTCTGCTTGCTTGCTTATGTCCTTCCCTCCTTTATTGGTTTTTTTGTTGTTGTTGTTTTGTTTTGTCTTGTTGTTGTTGTTTTTGTTTTAGGCAATGTCTCAATATGTAGCCTTGGCTGTTCTGTAGACTCACTATGTAGACCAGGCTGGCTTCAAAGTCCCAGAGATCCACCTGCCTCTGCCTCCCAAGTGCTGAGATTCAAAGTATGTGCCACCACACTTAGATCCCTCTGCTTTCCATATAGCACTTCCATTCAAAGTCATTCATCTAGGGGCTAGAGTTGCAGTTCGGTTGGTAGAGTGTTTGCCTAGCATTCATGAAGTCCTGGGTTTGGTCTTCAGCACTCCACAGACCACACAAAGCAGCTTACATCCAAAGTCCCAAAACCTGGAAATCAGAGACAGAAAGATCCAAATTCATGGTCATTCTTGACTACATAGCAAGTCTGAAGGCAGCCAGGGATACATAAGAGCTTGTCATGGAAAAATATATATATATATATACCAATCTTGCCCCTCTGCTAGCTGCATAATCACCAGCAAATTAACAACTGTGCAAAACTATTGTTGGTGAGTGACAGACAGCAGCAACCAGCTGGAAGAAGAACCAGGCTGAGGCCTGTGGCCAGGGTGTATCATTATAACAGCTGTTCATTAAACCCCGACCACATCCTAAGCGCCATGATATACTGCCCTGACTCCTAACGTGACTTGGACTTGGTGAGATTCCAGTTATATCCTCCCAGAGCACCCTGCGATCTACCTTGACCATATTTCACAGGCTGGTACTTAATGCTCAGTTGTATATGATGTAGTGTGACTTCCCCACTCGATGGTCAAGGCACATCCCTGCGGAGCTCAGTGACCATCTATCATTTCTGCTCCCTCCTGGTTTGGTCACAGGAGAGGCAGCCTGACTTCAGACGTTACACTAGCCTTAATGGAGGCAGTAACCACCCTATGGCACCCGTGTTCTCGTCTAGCATACTGAATTCTGCTCAGAGGAGTGCTCTAATGGCCCTTTTTGGATTTAAAGGGTTTGGCTCAGGCTTAGTCTAGAAGAGACTGCCATCACTGCTCTGCAATCAAGAGACAGAAGTGTGGAGTTGTTAGCTCTGGGATCCCGAAAGTGTCCAGGAAAACTGGTCCCTGGGAAGCTGTAGTAAGTTAGGTTTGAGAGAGACAGACAACCACTGGAGAAATTCTCCAAGGGAATGACCAAGCAAGAAGAAGATGAATGTCACTCAACTTTACCTGTGGCTTTTCTGAGCCATGGGCAATCCCCTTTCTCTTAAACCCTTGGTGAAAGCCTGTTGTATAACACAGTAGTGGGTCGGTTAGGGCTTAGGGAGTAAATAAGCCAAGCCTACTGTAGTCATATCCTCACATGTGGGTGCTGGGAATTGAACTCGGGTCTTCTGAAGACCAGCTGGTGCTCTTAACCATTGAGCCATCTCTCCAGCCCCAAGCAACTTAAAAAAAAAAAAAAAAAAAAAAAAAAAAAAAAAAAAAAAAACAACACGGTACCTTTGAAGAATTTTGGTAAGGAGAAAATCCTCCGGGAAGAACTGAGAAATACTGGATACCTATCTCCCCACACGTGTGGAATGGAGGCCTGACCCAGAGGGGAAAGGCAGACAGAGGGGGCTGGGGCAGCTCTTCTATTATGTTTGGAAGGGAGAAATAGGGGACACAGAAATAGGGGACTCACTTAAGCTCACACAGACAACAGAGAGTGGCAGAAACTACAGCAGGGACTTCTTCCAAGAAAGACAAACCAGAGAGTCCCTAAGGGTAGGATGCCTGCTCGGAAGCCGAGTTGGGTGGCCCCAGACCCCTGCCTGGCACTGTTGGAGACCCTGTCTAGCGCAATGCCACTCCACCCTGTCCTATTCCATCCCACCCACGCACAGCTCTCTCCAAGCCCTCTGCCCATCTTTCCTGTTCACCAACCCTAAATAGACCGTCCCTGTGAACTTCTTTCTCTATGAGAATGGTTATTTTGTTAAGGTGCCAAGTGACCAGTTCCTGCACCCCTTTCCATCCTTCCAGCCATCCCCAGTTGGAGTCCAGAAATAAAACAAAGGCTTTGTTCCTTTATTTTTATTTCCTCCATAAAATCTTAAACATGCAGGAAACACCCACCCAGTCCCAGATAAGTGGACTCAGGCCACAATCCACGGAGGGTGGGTGGAGCTTAGGTCACTGAGTGGAGTGGACAGGAGGCTGGGAAGCCAGACGGCCTTAAATGCCAACAGGGCACCTGACCTTTGTAGACCCTGATTTCCTCAGCGGGAAAAGGGCTTGGTGTGTGTAGTGGGAGACCTTCCCACCCTCTGCCAAGAATCTCAACCTGAAGAATGTGGGTGTGGAAGGATGGCTGAGGAGACGTATCTTATACAACGCTTTAAAAAGAAAATATATGTCCCCAAGGCACTGGGACAGTGTCTCCACCCTTCTTCCCTCTTCTCCGATAAAGCAGATTTTGCAAGAGCACACGGCAAGGGGCTATTTTGGATTTGGGCACAATTCCTAAGAGGATGGCCCTGACTGAGAAAGATGCATTGCTCTGATCTCTCTATTGGAGCTTCAGTTTCCACTGGTGTTAATTCAAGCATGAAGAGGTGGATTTGTGATTATCTAAAAAGGGGGGAATTTCCCAGAAAGTGTGTTGAAATTCTAAATGATAAAAAGAAGAAGAAAGATAGTAAATACCTTGAAATTAATCCATCTTTTGAAATTAATGTAACACTTTTGGGAGGCAGGAGCCTGCCCCAAAGTTTCCCCTAATGATCAATTCTTAAAGAGTTACTTGGTCCCCCCAAGTCCCCTCCTCATTACTGGTGATTCCACCAATTCACACACATCGTCACTTGACTACAAATAATTTTAATCTCAGTGCTTAGTATATACTGTGGGCAACCCAACACACAATATGTGGCATAGGTTCTTTTTTTTTTTTTTTAAAGATTTTTTTTTTTTTTACGTAAAAAAAATAATGTTTCCTTGTATCTCTGCACACCAGAAGAGGGCACCAGATCTCATAACGGATGGGTGTGAGCCATCATGTGGTTGCTGAGAATTGAACTCAGGACCTCTGGAAGAGCAGTCAGTACTCTTAACCTCTAAGCCATCTCTCCAGTCCATGGCGTAGGTTCTTGTAAACCCAAACTTTTCTTTAGAAATTGGGTCTGTAGACAACACATCCATACATTTCTGTATAATCAAATAGAACTTAGTTCTATAGTATATGTGGCTACTGTCAGTGGTGCCACTTGGACAGTAAGACAAACCCTAGGTCCTTCTGAGGTCTCCACTCCTAGTCTTGGTGACTTTTGTAGTATCTCCATCAGCTGGAGTAGGCTCCAGAAGTATGACCTCTTGCGGGCAACTCAAAAAAACAGGAGCTTCATCCTCACCAGTTCATGAGGATTTGAGGACCACCCCAGGTCCCTGTGGCGTATTACAAAACTAGTTCGAATCTCAGCCCCTACTAGTGACACATTGGAAAAAAATCTGCCAGTAAGGAAGGCCTTCCAGAACCTTCTGCATCTCTACCACAGCTTTATGAAGTAGTTCTCTGCTGTTCTTACTCAAGCCCAAGCTGAATGCTATCAGGACTCAGCCTGTGGGTGTAAAGAAGAGGCTGCCTCCAGTAAGTCACCAGGTGCTTCCACCCTCTGCAGCTGAAGAGCTGGTTATCCCTGCCTGGCAGAGAACAGAATCCCCTATGAGGCACCTGGGGCTCGTTCTAAAAGAAAAACAGAAACATGAAGAATTGGGGATCAGAAAGTGCTTCCATTCTACTTGGTTGGCTTCCTTAAAGCTAGTCCTGTACTTTGGTTAGTTTGGTTTTTGTTTTTTGAGACTGGGTCTCTGTACAGAGCCCTGGCTGTCCTAGAACTCACTATGTAGACCATGCTGGCTTTGAATTCACAGAGATCCACCTGCCTTTGTATCCCAAGGGCTGGGATTAACATTGTGAGCCACTATACCCGACCTTATACTTTT